GGGGGGGTGGTATGTAATTGTCCCAGGTCACTGGGTGGGGGCTCGAGCCGGTTTTGCATTGCGTTATTGAAACGGAACCCCTAGATACAGAACCCGGCCCTTGTTGCTGCCAACTTAGATGGGCAGAAGGGTTACATATAAAAGAAGTTTTTCTCAGCAGTTCAGAGGTTTTGTTCAATGATTTGCCAGATAAAGATGCATATCTAGAATAAAAGAACTGCCTGTCTCTGAGAGACGCGTAAGTGAAATGGCAGAAAACGTTAACGAAAAGCAGACGACTGCATTAAAAGACACAGCAGTGTTTAGCATTCCAATTGATGAGAGTGTGGATATAAACAACGTTCCACGTTTGACAGTTGCTGCAAGATATTGTGCTTCCGATGAAATCCAAGAGGAACTTTGTTGCCTAAAACCCCTGCATGGCACAACAAAGGGGGGAAGATATAGCGGAAACTTTTGTAAACCATTTTGAAGAACGAGGAGTTGACATCAGAAAAATATTTTCTCTGACAACAGATGGTGCTCGTGCCATGGTCGGAAACCAGAAGGGATTTGTAAAGTTACTTGAAGATCAAATTGGCTGCCCGACAGTCAAATGTCACTGTTTCATCCATCAAGAAAACCTGTGTGCTAAAATTTCTAATTTTAGCACAGACTCTACCGGACACACTGTGCCCCCGACAATGGACCAGCTCAGTCCGGGGAGGGATTCTCCACTGCCCCCCAGGCCAGACCACGATGATGCTTTGGGGGTGCAAGTCTATGCACAGGTACTGCAAGCCCCCTGAGTGCATTGCCTCCTTGCTCCTGGGACATGTGGGTTTGAACAAAACATAGAATTGTAGACTGTCAGGGATAGCTCAGTGCTTTGAGCATTGGCCTGCTAAACCCAGGGTTGTGAGCCCAATCCTTGGGGGGGGGGGGGGCACTTGGGGATCTGGGGCAAAATTGGTACTTGGTCCTGCTAGTGAAGGCAGGGGACTGGACTTGATGACCTTTTGGGGTCCCTTCCAATTCTAGCAGATAGGATATTTCTATTCATTTCTTAATTTCTAGAAGGGACCTCAGGAGGTCTCTAGTCCAACCCCCTGCTCAAAGCAGGACCAATCCCCAGACAGATTTTTGCCTTGATCCCTAAGTGGCCCCCCCTAGGATTGAACTCCCAACCCTGGGTTCAGCGGGCCAATGCTCAAACCCCTGAGCTATCCCTCTCCCTGCACCATGTGATCTGCTCTGATGTGACTTCACCTCTGCGCCACCAGGGGGAGGAACAGGGCAAGGCGCATGCGCACTAACAGGAGCCGCAAGCAGCAGCCGGGGCGCATGCGCCACGATCGAGCGGGGACCAGGCGAAAGAGGCGCGAAGGAAGCACGCACGCGCGCCGCGTCTCGGGCTGGATCGGGCGCTGCGCACGCGCACAATCCCTCGCCGGGCAATGGCGCCTGCGCAGACCGGCTCGGAGGACCGAGCGAACATAGAGCGGGCGGCGCAGAGCGGTTCCACTTCCGGCGGGCACCAGAGTTTTGTTTCCGGGGGGCGGGCGGGCAGCGGTGGCGCCCGGCGGCGGAGCGCGGGGATGCCGGAGATCGGGATCCGCCATGTGGTGTCCGCGAGCAGCGCCGACCCGGTGCGGGGCAGACCATTCCCGAGGGGGGCGGGCTGGGAGAGACCATTCCCCGGGCGGGGCGGGAGACGCCATTCCGGGGGGTCAGCTCTGGGTCGGCGAGACTACGACGGGACGGGAGAGACCATTCCCCATGGGGGTGCGGGAGGACTGAGTGGGGGAGACCATTCGGGGCGGGGGGGGGAGAGACCATTCCCCATGGGGGGTGCGGGAGGACTGAGTGGGGGAGACCATTCCCTGCGGGGGGGGGGCGGAAGAGACCATCCCCGGGGGTGTCCCGCCCCCCTGACGATCTGCCCCACCCCCCAGACTCACTGCGCCGAGAACCTGCTCAAGGCCGACACCTACCGCAAGTGGAAGGCGGCGCAGGCGGGCGAAAAGCAGCTGTCGGTCATCCTGCAGGTGAGGGCCCCCTCCCCCCGCCGTGGAGCCAGGACTCCTGGGTTCTCTCCCTGGAGGAGGGGGGGGGCAAGGGGGAGCCAGGACTCCTGGGTTCTCTTCCTGGAGGAGGAGGGGGGGGCAAGGGGGAGGCCGGGACTCCTGGGTTCTCTCCCTGGAGGGTGGGGGGGTGTAGTGGTTAGAGCAGCAGGAGGACAGGGGGGCCTGAACTCCTGGGTTCCCGGAGTGGGTTGGAAGTGGGCCCTGGGTGGGCACCGCATCCCCGGCCCCTGACTCTCCCCCCTACCGCCCGCGGCAGTTCGAGAAGGAGGAGCGGATCCACAGCATCGATGTGGGCAACGAGGGCTCGGCCTTCGTGGAGGTGCTGGCCGGCAGCTCCGCCTCGCCCAGCGAGCAGGACTATGAGGTGAGGGGGAGGAAGTCGCGCGTGCTGGGCTTTGGGGAGCTCCCGGGTCTCAGGTGGGGGGCAGAAGGGTGGCCCTGGTTCAGTGAGCCCTGTGGGGTGGGGCCCAGCCTAGCAACCCCAGGGGGCTTAACCCCTTAAGACTGAGGCAGCGACAGGATTGGGGTGGGAGGGTGTCAAGGGTTTACGGAGGCTTCTCTAACCCCAGGCTTCCTGCCCCCACACCCCCACCAAGGTGCTGCTGGTCACCTCGTCCTTCATGTCGCCCTCGGAGAGCAAGGCCGGCACCAACCTCAACCGAGTCCGGATGTTCGGCCCGGACAAGCTGGTGAAGGCAGCAGCCGAGAAGAAATGGGACCGGGTGAAAATTGTCTGCACCCAGCCCTACACCAAGGTGGGACCCCTCCCGACCCTGGGACCCTCCTCCGCAGTGCAGCCTGGTCTGGGGACCCCTCGCATACTGGCCGGGCAGGGGTGGAAGGGATTACACGTGGGTGAGTGAAAGCGGGCAATGCAGACCAGTGGTGAGTGTGTGATCTGCTGGCAGTGCCCCCTGCTCAAGTCAGGTGGGTGCGACGTTCCCCAGGGTACAGCTGCGTCCTCTTGGTAAAGTCACCCCGCGCTGAGTGACAGGAATGTTCTCCTAGCCACTCCTGAATGACACCCAGGGCAGCATCCGCAAATCCTTAGTCTTGGCCTTGTCCCCCAGAAATGTGCGTCTTGTACTGCTCAGCCCCCTCCCGGCCAGCCCGAGCACGTAGAAATCCCATCAAAGGAAAGGTATTGGGCACCAGCCAAGGGGAGGGTCCCGAACACTCAGTCCAAACACACTGCTTTGGATGGAACCAGCAGAGACGTTTATTAACTGCAGAAATCTCGATTCTCATTGATTGCAAGTGATAAGGCATAAAAGTCAGAATGGGTTGCAAGGAAAAAGAATAGAAGATAAACACGGAAGTGAATCCCTAATTTACCCAGCTAAGTGAAGTGAAAAGCAAAAAGGATTTTTCTCACCAAAAGCTTGTAGTAGATTTCACAGGCTGGATTTCCTTTCAGCCTGGGACACCCCCACCCCCACCCCCCCTTGGTTCAGTGTCCTTCCAGTGAATATACTGGTGGCATGAGCAAAGAGGTGAGATAGGAGCCACTGTTTTTCATTCCTTTACCCCTCTCTCCCTGACTATTACCCCTCACTTTGCGTACGTGATGCTTGAACTGTCCCTGGGGTGAAATGTACATTTCTTCATTCCTTCCCCCTGCCAGAGAATGCCTGCCTACATAGCTAAGAGTTTCTTAACACCTGGTGGGGTATAGGTCTGTCCTTTGTTGTCTCTGAAAAGCTAGTCTGTGGGCGTTCCCCAGAATCATAACATATTTTAGTAACATCATATAGTAAAAGCCCATAGCTTTACACACAGTGTTGTTACACACATTTTAGCAGGATAATGATGTTCAGCGGATTATGAGTTTTCAAGTGATATCTCACAAGGCAGACTTTGTATCAAATGTGTCATAACCTTATAAAAGTGGTGAACATGGGGTGCAGGGTGTGTCAGTGGGGGGAGTGAGGTCTAATGGTTAGACCAGGGGAGGGGGTGCTGGGAGCCAGGATTCCTGGCTTCTCTCCGCAGCGCTGCCAATGGGTCACTTTCTTTCTGGCTGATCTCCCCGTAGACCCTGGCATATGGGCTGTCCTTTGTGAAGTTCCACTCGCCACCCGAAAACAACGAAACCCAATCAAAATCTGCCTCCCCGGTGAGTAACAGCTTTGCCGGTGCCCCTCAATCCCGACCCACAACCCCTGCTAGCCCAGCCATGGGCTCCCCCTTTCCCCCCTCAGCTCTGCCAGTGCCCCTCACTCCTGATCCGCAGCCCCTGTTAGCCCAGCCCTGTGCATCTCTCTCCGTACAGAAGGTGACCAAGCTGGGCCAGTTTAAGGTGAAGGACGAGGACAGCAGTTCTGCCTCAATGAGGCCCGGGGCCCTGTTCTTCAGCCGAGCTAGCAAACCGCTTCTCACGCCGCCCAGAGGTACCACGAACCCGGGGGTGGGGGGGGGGCAGGACTCCTGGGTTCTCTGCCCGGCTCTGGGAGGGGAGTGGGGCCTGGTGGGTTAAAGCAAAGGAGGCTGGGCGCCAGGACTCCTGGGTTCTCTGCCTGGCTCTGGGAGGGGAGTGGGGCCTGGTGGGTTAAAGCAGGGGGGGCTGGGCGCCAGGACTCCTGGGTTCTCTGCTCGGCTCTGGGAGGGGAGTGGGGTCTAGTGGTGAGTCTGTCTAGGTTACCCAGAGATGCCGGTTTCCAGACGCTGTCCCATGCCCTCTGTGGTGCGTCCGGTTAGCTCTAGCTCCACGTGCTGCTGCGATTTGTGGCTGCGACATCTCTTGTCTGCTCTCCCATGCAGCCCCGCAGACGGAGGAACCATCCCCCAGCTACGCCGTGGCCACCCTCCAGGCCAGCACACCCGGCGCCTCCTCCCCCTCCGCCACAGAGAAACCCGCTGCCAGGACCTCCCCCAGCCGCGCTGCGGCCTCCCCCAAGGTACAGTCCTCTCGGCTGGGCGCGGCCGCTCCCTCGCAGTGGCGGGGGCTGTCGGAACCCGGGGGCCAGGTCCGGTGGCAAAGAGGGTGGGGGCAGGTTAGTAAGAGCCGTGAAAACAAGGAACGGCTTGATAATCCCGCCGCAGAGCAAGTGACGCCTGGTGCTCGACCCGTTTGGTTTAACCCAGGAACGGCTCCGGGGAGCCGCGATCCTCGTCTGTCTATTCACCGGGGAGGGGGATGAACCGCTGGAACACGTCCCCGAGGGGCGCAGGGGGTTCTCGGTCCTAGGAATGATTCAGGGGCCGGTCTCTGGCCTGGGCTGTCAGGGGGTCAGGAGCAGGCTGACGGGCATAGCTTGCTTTGCTGGACTGGGAATGACATTGTCTATATGAACCCCGGTATCCGGGCCAGAGCCCATCGCTGGGGACTGCATTCTGGTACCCACAATCTGCTGCATTGCAGATGTGCTTGGGTACGGGGTTCAACTTTTCGTCTTAAAGCACCTGCATCTCAGCCCCAGTGAGGGAACTCTGAGAAACAGCCCCCCCAGAGGTGGCGGCGTTCAGGAATCCAGTGCACATCATACCGGATATTTACCTTTCGCTTCTGACCCACTTTTCTTCCCCCTCAGGATCCAGCTCCCACCAAGAGGAAGTTTGAGTTCAGCAAGGAGAACTCGGCACCCCCCTCTGCTCGGAAACCTGACGCCGAGGCCCCCCACCCCCCGCAGCCAGCCCCCAAGAAGCCCAAAGGTGAGAGGGGACTCCTGGGTTCTCTCCCCGGCTCTGTGCATATTACACAGTGTGACTGATCAAGGTCTGTCGCTACCTTACGGGCCAGAGAAAGGTGGGGGGGTACAGTGTAAGGAGGGGAGGTTGGATCTGTCACTCATTCGGCCGGGCATTCTAGTTGGCTCAGGTGTCCCAGTAGGCGGGTATTATCGCTAACCCCCCATTGTCCTCCCCCAGCCCCAGAGCCGCCCCCCCGCAGACCGCCAGCCCCCAAGAAGCAGCCGAAGGAGCCGTCGCCGGAGGGGGCGGGGGAGGATTTTCATCGCCTCCTGCAGGGGACGGTCTTCGTGCTGAGCGGCTTCCAGAACCCCTTCCGCTCCGAGCTGCGGGACAAGGCGCTGGAGATGGGCGCCAAGTACCGGCCCGACTGGACCCCCGACAGCACCCACCTCATGTAGGTACCGCCGGCTCCCTGCCCCCGCCCGGCTGGTACCACCCAACAGCACCCGCCTCACGTAGGTACCGCCGGCTCCCTGCCCCCGCCCGGCTGGTACCACCCAACAGCACCCGCCTCACATAGGTACCGCCGGCTCCCTGCCCCCGCCCGGTACCTCCCAACAGCACCCACCTCATGTAGGTACCGCCGGCTCCCTGCCCCCGCCTGGCTGGTACCACCCGGCCAGCCCGACTGGACTCCTGACAGCACCCGCCTCGCGTAGGTACCGCTGGCTCCCTGCCCCCAACCGGCCAGCCCGACTGGACCCCTGACAGCACCTGCCTCACTTAGGTACTGCCGGCTCCCCGCCCTCGCCCGGCTGGTATTGCCCAGCCAGCCCGACTGGACCCCTGACAGCACCTGCCTCACTTAGGTACACCCCCAGCAGCCGGCCCCAATTCCCTACCCAGCTGGCCCCCAGCCACCCCCGCCCACCTGCTGCCACCCAGCCAGCCAAACTGGACTCCCGACAGCACCGACCTTCTGCCAGTGCAGCCGGTACTTCCCAGCCTGATTAACCCTGCCTAATTCTGACCCAGTGCATCCTGGGAAACCCGAGGCGCACTGAGACACCAGGAGGAGAGCATGGGTGGACCTTCCCAACTGTGTGTTGTGCAAGGAACCCAGGAGTCCTGGCGCCCAGCCCTCCCCCACCCCCATCTAACCACTAGACCCAACTCCCCTCCCAGGAGTCCTGATGCCTTGACCTACCCCTCCTGTCTCCAAACGGCTGTGTGTGGGGGCGGTGCTTGGCCCTCTCTGATCTCCCTTCTGCTTCTCTCCCCCTAGCTGCGCCTTCGCCAACACCCCCAAGTACAGCCAGGTGAAGGGGCGCGGGGGCACCATCGTGCGCAAAGAGTGGGTGTTGGACTGCCACCGGGCCCGGCGGCGCCTGCCCTGCAAACGGTGAGGGCGGGGGGCACCCCACGTCCAGTGGGGTTGGGGGGGCCATCCAGGAGGTATCAGCAATGGCTGAGGCTCAGGGGGGTTATATGCTATCAGAGGTCAGATGGGGAGCTAGACCGGTAGAGAGGGTGCTGGGGGTCATTCATGGGGGGCAATCAGTGATGGCTGGAGGCCAGGGGGTTCAGTCCTGTTGTGGGAGTCTGGTGGGGGACTGCGGGGGGATGGGGGGCTCCAGGGGGTTCACTCAGTTCGGGGGTAACCGAGGGGGTGTACCCTGGCAGGTACCTAATGGACGGGCCACCCGCCTCGGGCAGCGAGGAAGAGGAGAGCGAGGAAGAGCCGCCTGCCCGGACCCGCAAGACCCCCTCCCCCCGACAGGTAGGGGGCGTCAGGTGGGGCGGGGAGTGGGCTGGGGCTGGGAGCCAGGACTCCTGGGTTCTCTCCCAGCTCTGGGAGAGGAGTGGGGTCTAGTGCTTAGAGCAGGGGGGCTGGGAGCCAGGACTCCTGGGTTCTCTCCCCGGCTCTGGGGGTGGGGTAGGGTCTAGCTCCCCAAGCCCCTGCCCCCATGACACCACCTCGCCCAGACCCCCCCCTCGGACCTTTCTCTTGCAGAGAGCCGGGCTGCCCAGCTCCAACCACCAGGGCAAGGCACCTGCCAGGGCCCAGCCGCCTCTGGGTGAGTCCTCAGGGGAGGAGACAGAGCCCGGCACATCCTGGGCCAACGCCGGCAACTCGCAGGCCGGGGGGGAGAGCTCCCCGGCCTCCACGGACAGCGGGGAGCCCGCAGGTAGGGAGAGAACCCAGGAGTCCTGGCTCCCTGCCCCGGGAGGTATCCCCCAATGCCGTGGGGTGGCTGGGACTGATTTCCCGTGCTGTTCTCCAGGGGCGAGAGACCGCGGGGAGGGCGACTCCGGCGACACGGACGACGAGCTGAGGAGGTGGGTACAGCAGAGTGTGGCCACGGGTGAGTTGGGAGCCATGGGGGCTGATCCAGCGAGGGGGTGGGGACAGGAGGGATGGAAAAAAGGGCCCCAGGGGCAGATCCTCCCCCCACGTGTGCTCATTCTGGGGAGGGACTCCTGGGTTCTCTCCCTAGCTCAGGGGAGTGGGGTGTAGTGGTTAGAGCAGGGGGGCTGGGAGATAGCACTCCTGGGTTCTATCACTGGCTTGGGGGGGGGGGAAGGCGAGGGGAAGAGGAGGGGGAGTTGAGGGAGGGGTGTGCCCCCCCGGCTGACCCACACTCCCTGATGCAGGGTGGAGGAGGAGCACCGCAAGAAGCAGCAAGCGGGTCGGGAGGCAACTCCGGACCCCGACGACGACCCCTACGGCGGCTCCACGGACGAGAACACGGATGTGGAGGAGGAGCCGGATCAGCCCATCCCGGAGCTGCCTGGTATGTGGAGTGGGACATGGGGACTCTGGCTTCCATCCGGCCCCATGGCAGGAACTGGCTTTCTCAGGGGGTGAGGAGTGGGGCACGGGGCCTATCTCTCTAGTGGGTGTGATTCTGAGTAGAACACATGAAGATTTTTAATATCCTGTGGCAGAGAGTCCCACAGGTGAACACGGTACGAGTCTGACAGGGAGACGCCCAAGCGGTTTTGTAGCATCCAGCCCTTTACGTTAACCTTTTCCTCCTCTGCAGATTTCTTCGTGGGCAAACGCTTTTTCCTGTATGGAGATTTCCCCTCCCAGGAACGACGCCTCCTGAATCGCTACATCACGGCGTTCAACGGGTGAGGGGCAGGCCACCGGGGCCTCAGGCCGTCACAGCAGCTGGTCCCTCCACTGGATGCAAACCCAGGAGTCCGGGTCAAATTCCATTGGGTGTGGGTTTAGCTCCCGAACTCCCCTTTGTAGTTATGAAATTCTCCCTCACTGCTGTCCTAAGCGTGATCTGCTGCTGGGAGGTTGTTAACCAGCCTCCGCGCCCCACCCCAGAGACAGCTGCATCTCTGTGCCAGACACATAGCTGTGTTCAGCGAGCAATTCTTTTATAATCGATGGACGTATGGGCTGGGGTAGCAGGGGCTGTGGTTCAGGAGTGAGGGGCATGGGAAGACCTGGGGCGGGGGCTGTGGGTCGGGAGCGAGGGGCGCGGGCAGGGCCCGGGGGGGCGGAGCAGTGGGTCGGGAGC